ATTCCAGAAAAACTGAGTCATTACTTTAGCACGGAAAACGCGGTATCAAGTAACCAAACCTCTGCACTGCCTATTTAAATAGAAATTTTAATTCCTAGAGTATATTTTCTTTTGGTAATAAACCATTTTCTGTTAAAAATCTGTTTTCAATTATTCTAAGACAAGGGTAAAGACTAAACTATATAATAAAAGTGAGTAGATGTTTGAAATAAGAATAAATGGCAACAGAAAGAAAAATACGAAGATTAAAATTAGGATGTAAATATCATACATGAACAAAAATTTATTGAGAAAAACATTGATTTTCAGTGTGCCCAAATTGTTGGTAGAGAAAAAATTGATGAATATATTGTTTTGATCATAAAATATAAATAGGATATTTAATATTACTGATTGAGTTTTACAGTAAAAAAAAAAGTCTTGTTTGAAAAGATCTAAAGTACCTTATGTTTATTGATAAGGTTTACACAAAGTAGATAAGAATTGAGAACACAGCATAAAGTCCTTTCATAAGAGTATTTAGCTTTCCATAAAATATGGCTTTTAAAACTCAAATATATTTTATTAAATCTCGAAGCCAGTGTGCCATCAGCAGGGAATTTCATTTAACAAAATCAGGGTTACTCCTTTTTTTTTCTTTCTCTTTATTTTATTTCGCTATTGGTGGTGGTGGTGGTGGCTTTTTGGTGTTGTTGTTGCTGTTGCTTTGTTTCATTTTGAGAAGTCAGGCCACAGGGCATTATGTGTGATAGTAAACTCTCTACTACTGAATTACATCACTGTCTTTAATATAGTATTTATTTTTAATATCAATTTTTATTGAAATATAGTAATTTTCTGAACTCTAAAAGCTTATTCTAAATGTTGGAAATTAAATAGAGCAGCTGGTTCAAATAAAAATAAAATTTGTTTTGAAGAAATGCTTTGAAGTTTGTTCTAGGCAAAAGGTATCAAAACGTCATCCCAGCTCAAAAAACCCTCGAACTTTTTGTCCAGAGAAAACTGAAGACATTTATTTTTTGAAGTATGTGTCTATGGCAAATGCACTTAAAAGAAGTGATTTTTTTTTTTACTGTTTTCTCTATAGCATCTCAGCTCCTAAAATAGCTGTAGGTGAAATATACAGCTCCAGTAATTATTATTAATTGGAAGAACAAACAAATTAACCATCTTAATTTGACAAATGATTATTTTTCATTAGGTAACCACTAGAACTTATGAACAAAAATTTGAGAAGACACATGGGACACTTGGGAAGTTTCTGAGAGAAGAAAAATAGTAATGTAGGGAAGCAATGAAAAATACTGGTCTTCTTCCCCTCATAAGCATGGACCATGCAACAGTAATTGTCTTTGAGGTGTTTGCAAAAACAAAAGTGTAATGAACAAAGGCGAAACGTAAGTGTGAAAGGTAACCCTTTCATTAAAAACACAGGTAGGTCCTCAGCACTGGACTTTTGCAGAAGAAGCCTTTGTGTCAGGCCAAGAGCAATAAAAACAAATTGGTCTAATACATGAAAGGTTAGTGAGGATTTATAAGATTACAATTAGCTAGAATTCTCAGCTCTGACTTAATAGAAAAATGAGGTTCATAACTTAACATCGATCCATGATGAATGAGTAAAGAATACCAGTTACCTGGAGCAAGACCAGGTAAAAATTTGTAGAAAACAGTGCAAAATGTTAATGTAAAACTCATTAATTTAAAATATTAGGAATTTCATGATGGGAACAGTGGCGAATTAAGGAAAATGAGTCCCTTTCACAGGGCCATGAACATGTGCCAAAAGTTTGGGATATTGCTAATCATAGCCTGACATGTGAAACACCGACCAATGTCACTGGAAAAAAAACAAAAAAGTTTTTGACAGAAACATTATGTTTGAGCTAACCGACTCAAGTAACGGCTTACTTCACTTTATTTTGTGTGAGCACTAACTTTCCTCTTGAGTACATTCAACTGTTACCTTACCTCTATGAAAACAGGAAAATTAGAGACACAATTAGATAACATATCTCTGACTGAGAGTTCCTTGAAGATTATAGTAATGACGGAAAGATAATTAACATTTATTAACCAATTAGTATGATGTGACTGATGCTACAGTTAAACACATTAATTCTAAAGATCTTTCAGTTGTCATAAATTTATGACTAATTAATAAAATAATTAATCAATTCAAATAACTTCTCAAAGTATCACTAATTAACGCCATCACATCAAATAAATAACTAATTAAAGAAGCAATATCCCTACCCAGTGTAGAAGCTCATGCCTGCATTCCCAGCACTCTGAGGGCTGAAACAGGACTATTATAAATTCAAGCCCGGCTTGGATTACTTAGTGCTTTAATGAGATTCTATTTTTTAAAATGTTTTAAGGGGTCAAGGATGTAGCTCAGTGTGAAGGCTTTAAGTTCAATTTTCAGTGGTATATAAAAAGAAAAGAAACATTAAGATTGGTCTATGAAGAAGAGGAAGTGTGCTTGGTTCCTGCAATACAGATGAGTCTACTCATATCTTTTTGTTCCGCTTGCTACAGTTTTGCTTTGAAATGCCCCCAACCTCCAAAGCCCGTTGTTAAAAACTTAATCTGTAGCTCATGGGACCAAGGGTCTGGGTAATGGCATTTGAAGAGTCGGCAACAGGTTGCATCATTCGTGGCCTTCAAGGAGACAGTAGGTGCTCGGCTGTTTTGTCTCTGCCCTTCTTTTCCCGTGACATCAGCAGCTGTGCACCATCAGTGCTTCCTACCATAATGAGCCTCCTGCCACAGACCCAAAGCAGTAAGTCCAGCTGATCTTGGACAGTGAATTTGATTTAATTTCTTAATATCATTCAGTGATGGAAGATTAAGGGAAGAATCATAGTTACTTAGCGATAAAACAAAATAAATCTTCCCTATACAAAAAAGTTGACTCATAAATTTTTGCTCCTCATTGAAGCCAAATTACTATGATGACTGACTAGAACCTGAGACATTCATTGTGTAATAAAAGGTTTTAAACCTATGTACTCTTCTATTTTTCTTCTTTATAACATTCAACATTAAAAAAAAAAATCCTATCTTCCTTTTCCTCGCTCAATGTTCTATTAATCCACATCCTTTTTTTTTTCAAAATTTAAATATTTTTCTTAGGTTTTTGATGCCATATTGAGTCATTTCAGTATAGTATTCTGAAACCTGTTCTCTTACCTTATTTTATGTCCTCAACTAGGAAATGAAATAATTGGGAGGGTCACATTTATACTTCCATATATTTATTATATTACCCAAATTTTTCTTCACTTCTGTTGTCTTCTAGTTAGAACAGATATCCAACTTCTGAAGGCAATAATATTCGTACTAATTTCATGATTTGAAAGTAACTTAATGAGGCCTGCCTTCTCCCTAAGGTCTTTTATATCCACAAAATACAAGAGACCAATTTACAGTCTAATTTTAAATGAGGTGAAGTATACATAATGCCTAAACATAAATTCACCCTACTAGACAAAAACATCTTTTTCAGATAAGAAGAGAATCAAGAGATGGAGGGAGTGGAGACAAAGAGAATGAAAAAGTAACTGAGGTCTATTTTGTACATGCACCAACTCTGTCAACAAGTGTAATCATTATGCAATGCAAACATGGACTAATGAAAAATATAACTGAGAAAAAAATCAAAATAGTAAATTGGGAAATTTTCAATTACAAATATAACTTAATGTATATAAAAAAGCTTATTATATATATTTTTAAAGAAATGAAATAAACTTCTAATTATTTTTAAATTGCTTAATGGAGGATTACCAAGTTAGCCTTGAGAATTTTTATAAAAAAGGGACTAAGAGATAAGTGTTTTATTTAAGAGTTTGAGTGATCTAATTAAGATAGTAAATTATGTTAGGATATTTTGATTAAAAATGATTTCTGGAAAAATTCAACTGATTACATGTATACAATGTATAACTAAAATATATGAAAGATTAAGGTTATTGTATCTCTGTAAAAGCTCAAATTATGGCAATAACAACCACTCAGTAGGTACATTTCTATAGAAACTAAAATAAATTGTATATATTACTTTCTAATAATCTTAGTACAGGTTTAGAATTGGAATGGCTTAAAAAGTTTCTTTAATAATTCTACTGTATCATTAAGGATTAAGGAAACTAAAGTCACAACTAATACACTCATTAGTGTTTTCAGAATCTTAGTATGTCAGTATTCTATCTGTTCAGTAAACAATGCCTCATGTGTTTTAGGGAAGATATATATATATATATATATATATATATATATATATATATATTTGTGTGTGTGTGTGTATTAAACCTGACATGCTGTCATAAAACAAAAAATACTTATGACTTTGCCTTGGATTTTCTCTTCCAGGTGGATAGCTATTACATTTATTGAGACACAGGAGTACATACGATAAATCTCTGTAGTGTGTAGTAGTTTTCCTCTCAAAAAAAGTTTTGATTTTTGTTAAGTACTCATCCGCATTTGAGAGTCAACATTTAGGACTGTAAAATTTAGAATAAACAATCTGTAGTTAAAGAGACATAAGAACAGATGTTATACCTTGCCAATTTTGTCATATAAGAGCAAGATGATAATAGAAAATCTAACTTCAAGAAATACATCTTGACAGATATCTTACAATAAATTGCTTGCGAAATATTCTATTATTTTATGATATGCCAAGTAGGTTAATGTAGGAGGATCTATATATATTTGGCAAATGTCAGATAAAGTTTTCCCTTGGAGTATTTGTTGTTTGATAAGTCTTTACAATAAATATATAGCTGGAATGGATAAATCTTTATGCTTTGTAGAATAAAAGGATCTCTGTCAGAAAATATCTTGTCACTTGTGGTAGACTTAAATTATATATATATATATATATATATATTCCTTTCAAAGAAAAATGTAATTTTTTTATTTGGGAGATTTATTTTCATCTTAATGTATGAATGATGACAATTTAAATAACTGCTTTATTTCTTCTGCAGTATCTTGGTCCAGATGAAGTGGAATAAACTACATTATATGTAAATGTGTCTTAAGATTCAGTGAAGGAAGAGCTGAGAAAACCCCTGATTTTCCTCTCATCTCAGAAACTGATTGTTGTTGGAACCATATAAAATTCTTATTCAGGGAGATGTAGTCAAAGAAAACAAAAGAAACATACAGTATGAGAACACAGCAAGAAGACCACTATCTGCCAGCAGAGAGAGAAGCCTCAAAACCAACCAAACTTGCTGATTGTTTAATCGACTCAACCTGTTTCATTTATAGTCAAAAGTTGCAATAGGCATAAGTGTACCAAAGATGTCAACATTTTAAACCCATGAGACACAATTCACAGCCTCTGGAAGATACATATATCCCTGAACAGATAACCAGCAAAAGAAATATGCTTTCAGTTACAGAACCACTAAAAAGAAAATAAAATTTTTCAACATCCAAACAAAGAGAAGACAATTGTCCTCTGGAGCTTCCAAAAAGATGACAGCATTTCCGATACCATAGTGTCCCCCATGCCACAGTGATTCCTGTGTCAGACTTCTGATCAAAAGGCTTTTGAGGAAACTAATTTGTATTGATTTACATTGGAAAGCAAATTTGTTATAGCAGTAATGGGAAAAACAATAAAAAGTTATACTTTATCTTGTATCTGCAGAATTTGGGTTCAGAATAATTATGGTGGGGAATGTTCTGAAAGCTATAAGCTTTCTGTAGTTTTTCTGTGTTTAAAAATAAACTCAACTGGCATTTTTACGAAGTAATGCAGGTGCTTGTCATAAAGCGTTTCCTCAATGAATCGGTTATAATTCACCATTATCTTGTTGACAAGGCTACGATTCGTTTCACACATCATTGTTCATTAAAATAATATGTATCTGAGCCTTTGTCCAACCCACTTCAAAGCCCAACTGCTAACAAATTTATGGTCAATTAATTTTTGTGAATAACAATAAGTTGAAACTACACATGATTTTCACCTTTGAAATACATGTTTGAAATAAGGCATCTACAAGCTAATTACCATATAATGTTTTAAGAATTATCTTACAAACGTTTTAAATTCTTTCATTACAGTATTTACATTTATAGGAAAGAAAAACATTTAACCATTTTTAAGTTTTAAATCGTTTTTAGTAAATTAATTTTTCACCATCAATTCATTTCTTTTACACTTCAATTTTAAAAAACAGATTCTATTTTATATATTGACTTTATTTCAGCCTTCAATGATTTCACAAAAAGATTTCCAATATTTAAGAGAAAAAATTTCCTGAAATATCTGTAAAATATTGATGTTTTCTATTGATATAGGGGAATGAAAATCCCAGCTTACTATATGTCTGGCATGAGTTTGTGTTCACTAAAACTGAAGAGTGAATTTTGGAACAGTGGAGGTAAAGAGCAAAATATATTTATTGAGAGAAAGAAAACTTGTGTCCGAGAGGCAGAACGGGTCCCTAGTGGGTTGCCAAAGATTGTTTTTTCTAGGGACATTTATGGGGCAAAACCACAAGATGAGATGGGTCCAAAATGGAAAAACATGGGAACTCACAAGGTGCGCATAGAGTGGGACAGAACTATGGTCAACCAATAAGAATAATTGCTCAGATAAAATTGATTAAATTGGGGATAAATGGGGAAGTGAGTCACACAGCAAGCAGGCATGCATACAAACCAGTGACTCTTCCTATAGATGGTTGAGATAATGATTCCTGGCTTCCTCAGGGTGATAGAGAACTATTTAGAATATTAATCCTTAGGATGTGAGTACATTTGTTTACTCTTTTGTCTTTAGGGCTGGCCCACAGTGGGAGATGTCTGGCTCCCCTATGAGATATCTGGTCTTCTGCATTGGCATATTCGAAGACTTAACCCTAACTATCCATAATAGTTCTATATAGCTTAGTTGCCTGTAACACTGTAATATCATTATTATTATTTTTTTTTTTCGGTACCAGGGATCGAACTCACGACCGCCTGCTTGCAAGGCAGGTGCTTATACCGCTGAACTAAATCCCCAGCCTCTATAATATCATTACTGTGTTCATCCATTGTTTTTCAGAGCTATTGATTATAATTTTGTTTGGTAAGAGATCATATGCTGATTCATGATAGAGGGTGGAATCACAATGCCCAAATACATTTCCCCACTACGATAGTTTGGAACTTGAAAGACAGTGCCCACCAACACTATTTAGGTATGTTCTCCAGAAGAATTTTAGTTTCTTAGCTCCTAGGAGATAAACGCAGCTAAAAATTGACCAAAAAATATTTTTTGACTGCATAGGTCATTTACATGGTCTAAAGTGGAGAATTCAACAAGAAGAATTATTCAAAATATATATACGTATATCTTACAACCATGCAAGGACTCCTTATAAATGGGATACAGTCATAGATATGAGAACATAAGTACAAAGGATTTTAAAATTTGTAGGTTTGTGAGTATGAAGTAATATACTGCATTTCAAGAAAATGTCTTTGAGGAAATAAAGGAAAAGATAGGGTAAAGGAGGCTAGGAAAAAAGTATTCATTACTGTTTGAGTAAAAAAATGTGATATTCTAAGATATTAGCATATCAAAAAGAGAAGGAAGAATTTTCAATTTAAAGTAAAAACGAAGTTTCAGAATTATGCTTAAAATGAACATGAGAAACTTGTAACTGAAAGGAAAAGTACTTCACAAAAACTATTAAATCTTTCCAGCTGTACATTGGTCTTCAGAAAATTTCAACTTACAAACTGCAGAAATTTTGAATAAGAAGAGAATGCCTACTAGGATTTTTTCCCAGTCTATAATTCTTTAAAGCACAAAATGTGTAATAAGATTGAGCTTTATGCTAGTATCTTGCTTTCCTGATTTTTGTTTTTCTCTATTTTTGAAAGGAACATGTTGATGTTTTTAAGAATTCAGTGGGTTTTATATTTAATATATTCATTAAAATCTGTACGTGTGAAGATCTAGGTTACAGTTAGATCTAGGATGTAATGCAAGATTTTCATGTGCTCAGAGGTGAGGTGTGTTACAGGAAGCTGAGTTAATTAGATTTAGCTCAGCGGCATAAGCACCTGCCTTAAAACCGGATGGTCATGAGTTCAATCCCCAGAACCGACTGAAAAAGAGAGAGCTCTCTCCACCGGCAGAAAGGCCTCCTAACTGCAGCTGGGATTCAGATGGGTGTCTTTTAGGGGCTAGGGATTTAGCTCAGCGGAGTAAGTGCCTGCCTTGCAAGCAGGCAGTTGTGAGTTCGGTCCCTGGTACCGATAAAAAGGAAAAAGACAAAAAAAAAAAAAAAAAGAGAATTAATATAGGCAGTCAGACAGGGGTGGGCCCTCAAAGGAGCCAGTGGAGAAGTTCAGATGCCTTGTAAGCTTGGAAGAGACAAACAGCTCCTGCTGTGGGCCAGATCTCAAGACAAAAGGCAAAGCAATATACCCACTTCCTCAGGATTGATAGTCCACATAGTTCTCTGTCACCCTGAGGAAGTCAATCCCAAAGCATTCCAACTCCCTACAGGAAGAGTCACTGTTGTTAAGCATGCTCCCTTACTATGTTACTTGCTTCCCCATTTTTTTTCCTGAATTAATAAATTTTACAAGAGCAATTAATCATATTGGTTGATCATAGATCTGTCCCACCTTATGCTCACCTTATAAGCTCCCAGATTTTCCTCACCTTGCACCAGTCTCACTTTGTGGTTGTATGCTATAAAATTCCCTGGAAAATATAGAGTCTTTGACACCACACTAGGGACCCTTCTCTCTCTGAGACAGAAGCTTTATTTCTTTCAATAATTGTATACTGCTCATTACCTCCATTGTTCCTAAAATTAATTCTTCAATTTTAGAGAACATTAACTCATACCAGACATATATTAGGTTGAGAGTTGCATCCTTTTATATCATTTGGCTCATAGGGACACTATACTAATCAGCAGACAGACCTATTGATGAATTCATAGCAAAACCTGCTGTTAGGAGCTAGAGCCTGGTACGAGGAGATGTCATTGGGTGTTTGCATTTGAAGGCTGCATCCCTTTTATCTAGCTTCTCCCTTCTCTTTCTTGTTCCTGGCAGCCATGAAATGAACAGCTTCCCTCCATCATGCACTTTCCTTATGGTATTTCTGTCTTAGGGTCAGCTGTCCATGGACTGAATCTCCTGAACCATAAACTAAATTAATTCTGTCTTCCATTTAATTGGTAGGTATTAAACATTGTGTTCCTGCAATAGGAAATCTGATTACTGCAATCCATAATGTGGTGACATTTCTATGTCTATATACAGCTATATTTATTTATCTATCTATATTAAATCAATAGCAGGACCTTGTATGAAATATGTGTGTGTATCTCATTATGCTGCACAGAATAAGACCTATAGTGACCATTCATGTTGCTTGATAGCAACTATTGTTAAATACCTAATTGCACTGACTTAAGACAGTGGCATACGGTAGTTGGAACTAAAACCAATTTTGACTCTGGAAGGAAAGTATAAAATTTCTTTATATATATTCTACAAATCAAGTAAAATTCAAAAAGTTTGAATAAAACATCTCTTCACTTCATAGATGAATATGTTTTATTCTGCATATGCCTTTCATTGCAATTATATCCCTTTTTGTAAAGAAGTATTGCAAGCATTTTTGAGAATCCAAACCACCATAAGCAAAAATGGAGTTCTACTGTTTCTTGATCGGCTCTCTGGAAACTCACTGGATCTCTCATTGCCTCACTGTCTAGTGAGAGATTAAACAAGTTGAACTGTGAAGTCTGGGGATCAGTGTGTTTCATAAGAATTTGCTTATTGATACAGCATAGTTAATACAATGAATCATACTAGATTTGTAATTTTTTTTTACGGTGGGGAGGCAAAAAATAGCAGTATGACAAATATATGAGATGTTCTCAATTGTCACAAAATTCTTAACTTGGCTGAACATTAGTTGGGCTTCAGAACCCACTCCTACAAGCTCTGTAAACTTTTTGAGAAGGGCAATAGTTGCAAAGAAATCTGCTTCATAGGCTATGAAAAATCCTTGCTTGTCCTTGATGTCTGACCACTAGTAGTATCTGAACCTATTCATCAAATTTCCTCCACATCTATAAGATGCCTGAACATTCTGGCCTGTTTTCAGCAAGAATGCCACCAGCTCATTTAGCCAGAGTCCCTCCTATACTTGTATTAATACATCCTTTTAAAATTTTCCATTGCCCACCCCTATACCACACCTTGGCTTTTAATTCCCACTTCCTTATGCAGTATGAGATATAGGATATTCTATATCTCTGAGATAAACTATAAGATAAAATTTCTGCTTTTACTCCATATTATCCAGATATAGTTAGTAAGATAGAGTTATCAACACATATTTCAAGAAGTGCAGTAACTGAGAATTTTTTGACAATACAATGACAATTCATCTCTCAAAATGTTGTGGAAACATACAGGAAAATACTTTTCCTGTGCTGATTTTGATTTTCAGGGAAAGGCCTACTCATGTGGCAGTGACAAAAAATATTGCGGTGTAACAGTGGGATACAGTTGGAAGTGAACTCCCAGTAACTTTACAGGGAAGAAAAGAAATTTCGTCCCCGAGTCAAATAAGTAGATTACAAAAATCAGAAGAGAGTTGGTTGTATTTGGGCATGGCATAAAAACCAAATCTGGCCTTTACGTGAGATGAACAATGGTAATGATGGAAATTTATGAGAAATAATGATGGTGACTAACAGAATGCTTATAGTT